GCAGCTCTCGGTTCTAGGGCACAATCCACTGACACATTTCGATTGTTTCTCCTCCATCTTTCAGCCTGGACCCAACAGCCCATGAGGAGCGGCACGTTTTAAACCGGAGCCAGCTCTCCTGAGGGATAAATTCCGAAAAGCTGCGGAGCCCCTGACCCGCCTTCCTCCCCCAACCTCATGGACACTGGGAAACAGAGACGAACCCGAACCTGACAGGGGAGTATGACTACGACGGGTTCGGCTGATCACCTGCATCTGACTCTAAACATTGCTGGAGTGAAAAGGGGCTTCTCCCTGCAAAACAACTCCCCACCCCAAGCAGGAGCGGGCCTGCCCTCTCGCTGTGGGAGCGATTTAGGTCTGGATTTGGGGCCTGGATGACATGTTCTGGATGGTTCTATCAGGCTGCTGATGAGACCTTTCATAAGAGTCGCCCTGACACCGGACGCTGTGTCCTATAGAGGAGCTGGTCTCCCAGGCCACGTTCCCGAGCTCAGGGGCCAAGCCAGGGAGCCCCAGGATCTGAAGGCCGAGAAGCCCAGGGCCAGAGTGGACCTTGGACAAGCCCGAGGCAGTGACCTTGATCCTGAGGCCACCTCCTCCCCAGCCTCCAGCTCATTCCTTTCCCACCAGGTGACGGGAGTCACCTGGCTGCAGGCCAGCAGGTGAGGGAGGCGCCAGGCAGAGGGCCCCCTTGCGTCATTCCACACCCAGCACCTGCCTCCTGGCCAGAGGGATGGCCTTGGGGATGGGGACATGACCCAGGAGGTGTCAATCGAGACAGTCACAGCGCCTTTGGTCCACAGCTGGAGACACCACCTTTCTTCTGCTAGACATGCATGAAGAAGCGTGTAGCCCTGATTACTGCTCACAGCTATTTGGGGACTAAGAGGGAACTTTTCCTTGAGGCTGAAACCATGGAAGGAGAGCAAAAGATGGACAAAACCAGGTCCTTGAGATCTGCAGGATCGAACCTCACCTGACGCGTACCCTGCCTGGGATTTGTCACTGACAATCGGCCAGAAATGTTCTTTGTTGCTTGTTAACGCCTGTGGGAGTTGATGTTTCCAAGGCTCCCTAACCAATGCCAGGACCATCTCCATTTTACAGGCAGGGAAACGGAGGCTCAGAGAGATTAAAGGCGCCATCTCTCCACATCATCCTGACAATCTCACGCTACGCTGTGGGGTGCAAACTCTGAGCTTCCTCTGGTTTAAGGAACCCCCAGCGAAGTCCTGACTGCCAATTTCTTTCCATCAGAATGACTTTGGTGTCCAGTCTCCAAAGTGAGATCTGCAGTCCCTGATTATGAGAATGACCCTCCCATCCAACCAAGGCTCAACGCCCGGAGTCGTGGGGGCACCCAGTGGGGCTGCGGTTCTCCTCCATGCCCTGCACACCTCCCTCCCTGCGAGACCATAACTTCCCAGCACTCATTCCCCCAAAGATGCTGAAGTTGTGTCCAGGCCGGAAGCACTTCTGCTCTAACACTACGCTTGCCTCCTCAGTCGGCCAGATCTCCAGCTTTGCTCAGACCTGAGAACCTGCTGCAGGAGCCAGCACTGTCCCTCCTGGAGTCCTCACCCAGGGACACTGCCACACTCACAGAGACTGATTCTTGGCAAGGCTGCCCTTTTCCTCCCAGAAACGGAGAGGGAGGGGGAAGAAGGTGACTCCCTTTGGTGGGAAGTTGAAGGAGGGAGTGGCATCCACACCGGCTTTGCCCACTGGCCAGAGCATCCAGTAACTCCTTGTTCTGAAGATGCCGGGTCTGTCCACCCTGAATGACCAATGTCAGTTTCTGAGCTGCTCCCAGGGCACCCAGGACCCCGCCCCCACAGGACCCCAAAGTCCTGTGGAATGATTTCAAATTCCCCTTTGTTTGTTGGCAAGAGGCGCAATCCTGCAGAAGAAAACAAGAAAAGCAGGGCTGTGGAGGTTGAGGAAACAGAGCGATCTCCTGCCCTGGTCTGCCCGCCATCTAGTGGTCAGAAAGGGGTGGTGCAGTCTGGACCAGAGAGGGAGAGGACCACACAGGTAACTCTCTCCATCAGACTCTCTGTCTCCATCAAACCCGCCACCACAGAGGGGATCACAGCCTGGGCTCCTGGGCAGAGAAGGGCTTGGGGCCCCACGTGGTGTCTGAACATGAGAACTACCCAGGACTCAGAACCTCAGCTGCCTGAGGCCAACCTGCCTTGGCGATGGCCCGGGCTATCTCTCCACCTCTCAGATGTACGCTGAGTTCTAAGGTCCTCAAAGGTCCTCCCTCCCGTCCCTCACCAGTAAAACAACTACGTCTTCCCTGGAGGTGCAAGAGCCTAGACTAGGAGGAAGGAGATCTGCGTTTCCATTCTGAGCTGCTTGAGCCAGTAATTTAAACTTTCGGCCTCAGTTTGCTTGTCTGTAAAATGGGATCAGCAACTTCTAATTCACAGGGTTAGTGTGACAACTAGATGAGTGAGGGGAGAACCTTGGTGGTCATGTTCCTTGTCCTCCCTGGGCCTGTGGCAGGAGGCGGAGTGGGAGCACGCCTTCACAGCCACACGGGCGTGGCTTTCATTCCAGCCCCTCCACTTTTACTAGCTGCTTGACTGTGAAAAAGTTGCACAATGTCTCCATTCCTCAACTGTAAAGTGAGAATAATTATACATGAAGCCTGGTAATGAGGATTCAATAAGGCAATAGCTATAAAGTACATGCATAGCTCCTACAAAATCCCCTCCCCTCCACGAGCAGGAGGACCCAGAGCCCAATGGTCTGTGAAGAGGTCTTCCAAGACCCCCAGCTCTGGCCTTACAGGTAGTGCACTGCGCCACCCGCGCGAGGCATCTGCACTGAAGAGCAGGAGCCGTGAACAGCCTCTACGGGTGTCCAGGGCACCGGGATCTCTCCCTTCCTCCTTCTGTTTCGGATGCTATGGATTTAGTGCCTTGAGCTATGCCAGCAGAAAGAGTCTAGGTTAAAGGATTTGAATTGCAAGCACTACGAGTGTATTTCTACATTGCAGCCTGGACACAGCAGCACCCCAGGACCCTCCCGTAGAAGTGGCGTGAGCACAGGAGCATGTGCAGGCCCACATGCACACACGTGCATTGTTCTGCCTCTCTCCTTCCCTCCCTGGCCTCCCTGGCGGTGGTCTTCACAGGGACTTTTCTCCAGGTGGATTTTGGATTCCTAAGGGCAAGGACTCTACCACATTCCTTTTGTCTTCCTGGTATCACTGTAAGAACTGGAACTCAGTAAACATTCCTTTGTTAGATGGATGGATGGATGAGTGGGTGGGTGGGTGGGTAAAGGGATGGGTGATGGGTACGTGGATGGGTGTGCGAGTGGAGAGGAGGATGGTGAATGGTTGGGTGAGTGGGTGGATGGACCAGGTCAGGGGTACCTCACAGCACACACACATTTGTCCCTCTCAGCACTTGGCATGGCCGTCATCATCGATTGATATGAGTGTCTCTCTCCCAACAAGACCATGTGCTCGGCGGGGGCAGGGCTCGGTCTGCTCTCCCACAGTTTCATCAGGAGCTCTGAGCCCGAGACCTGGAGCACGGTGTGTGCTCGGGAAATACTTGTTAAAGGAGAGACGGGTGACACTGTCCCTGGGGCAGGTGAGGGAAGGAGAGGGGAGACCAGATTCTCATTGTTAAGGAAAACACACATGAATACATGTAGACTCTTTCTTGAGATGCATGAAAACTGTAGAAGATTTCAAGATGGAGTTTTAAAATGCACGTCAGCTCTGAAATCCCAAAGCCGCACAGTCGTAGGGCTCAAAGCCGGGTTATTGCACGTTCATTGTCTCTCATTCAAGGACAGTATGCCATGGGTCCTGAGCTGGTATCGGAGCAAATGGACCAGGTCAGGGGTGCCCCACAGCACACATGCATTTGTCCCTCTCAGCACCTGGCATGGCTGTCATCATCAGGAAGAGCCAGAGACATGCTCCCGGTCGCCCCAGGCTGCCCAGCACAGCACTGGGCCCTCGCGGATGCGAGCTGAGCATCCGAACCACAGAGCAGCCGGCACAGGCGCGTTTCAATGTCAGAAGCAATTTATTCTACTTGTTCGAAACTGGTTACCCACAACAGTGCATAGCGTAACTCTTCACTGACTCTGAGAATATCCAATACATCAAAAATCCCACTTTTCCCAAATGTTTCTATTAGTGGTAGTTAATTATAGTCAACAAAATTAATCTCATGAATTAAGAACTAAAGATCATGTGACAATTCCAAGTTCATCCAGGAAAAACACTATACATTCAGGTGTTAACTATCAAATACAGTTCAATTTGCTTTAAATAAAGTAACAAGCATTATCTGTTAGCGTGGTGTAGTGAAGAAAATTCTAAACTAAGCTATTTAGGTTCTAGACTGATTTCCTCATGAATTCATGTTGTGACCTTAAGTAAATAACTCCCCCATTTCTTCTCTGGTTTCCCATTGTGTAATGGTTAAAGGGTACCTCCCCCTGTAGTAGGATTATATTTTAATGGCTGAGAAAATGTTTGGAAAAATGTAAAAGAGTAATATATAGTATGTTATTTCTACTTATTATAAAGATTTTCATATTAATAGTGTCTTTTGAGTCACCACTGTGTGTATAAAATAATATCCTGGTAATGCAGGAGAAAAGTTAAGAGCATGACGTCTACTAGACAATATATTTATTACTGACCTATTGTTAAAACACTAAGTTCAAGTGTATTGTCAAATATCTTTGAAAATTAGGAATATTACGTATTTGACAAAGAGTACCAGATAGCTGGCTGGCTGGCTGGCTGGCAGGATGAATGGATGGATGAGTGAATGGAAAAATGGTTAGATGGCTGGATAGAAAGATGGATGGATAACTGGATGGGTGTCAAGGGGGAGTAAAACCAGGAAGGGCCATGTGGACAAAATCAGATGGTGAAGGGTCTGGGAGCTCTGGGGTTGTGGAGGTGACCGGGTGATGGCAGAGCTGTGTCCATGCTGGGTTTGAAGATCCCTGTGCCTGAGCTCCGGGCATCGCCGACACCATGCCCACTTCTCCATCAGCTCCTCTCACCGGCCTGCTTGTCTGGAACCTACAGGCCTCCTGGGGGCGGGCAGAGGTTATGTTTTCATCATCTCTGGGGCTCATCCAAGTGTGGGACAGAGTAGGCGTCCCTCAATGTTTGATGAATGAAGAACCGCTTGATTCTTGGCGACCTGTATAGGAAAGGTCACCAGGGTCAGCCGCATGCAGCAAAGGAGAGGCTCATACAGGAAACCCGTGGAGTATGGGAGTGGAGGGTCACCAGCAGCCTGAGGACACGATTCCTTTGCTGGATGAGAGTGAGGGGCTGTGCACCAATAAAAGGACAGCAACTCCCATGAGGCACAGAGGAACCGAACAGAGGTGCCTGTGGCCTGGCCTCTGTGAGTGAAGCCCCCCATGTCAGCGGCAGTTGTGCCTGGCGCACATTCCCGAGCTGGACAACACATCCTCGGGGACCTGTGTTATCTGTGGAGAACCCCCCTCGGACACGGGGCTCCTGTGCCAGGTGCCAATCTGGTGTGTGGAGAGGAGGTTGTTTACCGTTTTTCAAAGAGCCGAGGTTTGCAGAGACCTGAACACTCGTTCTAGGTGGTTTTCAGTTTGGAAGACACAAGCCTCAGGAGAATAAAAATGAAGAATAAAAATAAAACACTGCCCTAACCGGTTTGGCTCAGTGGATAGAGCGTCGGCCTGCAGACTGAAGGGTCCCAGGTTCGATTCCGGTCAAGAGCATGTACCTTGGTTGCGGGCACATCCCTGGTACGGGGCGTGCAGGAGGCAGCTGATCGATGTTTCTCTCTCATCAATGTTTCTAACTCTCTATCCCTTTCCCTTCCTCTCTGTAAAAAATCAATGGAATATATTTAAAAAAAAAAAAGGAGACCTCGCTTTCTGAACATTAATTTACAAAATAAATAAATAAAACACCATTTCCCTTGGTGTTTTGATTTCAAGGAGGGGGGCACCCCGCACGACCATGGCACCAACACGCGGCTTTCCTGAGACATTTAGGACAAGCATTGGCCGGTTATTGGGATTCACACTTTACATATTAGGTGAAATCCATGGACATTCTTTTGGAAGTCTCCCCAGGGGAGTGACTAGTCTAGCCCTCCATCTGTCTGGGCTGTGGGGGTTCCAAAACCCCGGATCACTGGTACACAGCTGTCAGGCGTCCTCGGAGCAGAGGGGGCAGGACAAGCCATGGCAGGATCTCTCTGGCAGCTCCTCCATCTCTGGTGGAGACGAAGGGCCCTGGCAGGGTCGTGGGCCTGTGGGACCGTGTGCTGTGATCCGCCTCTGCTGTGTGACCTTGGGGAGGTCCCTGGAGCTCCCTGGGACCGACTTCCTCATGTTCAGGATGTGGCCAGTATCTATCACTCTGTGCTGAGTTGTCCTGAAGATCTGTTACCTCAAGAGAAGGAGGAGCCAAGCACAGGGAGGCGGCCTTGGCTGGGGACGCTGCTGGCCCAGTGAGGAAATGGGGAGCAGGGGCCAGCCACTCTGGGGTGCATCCACATGACAGTACCCAGACCGGGCACAGGGAGGAACAGGGTCTTCATGACCCAAACCTCGGGGGGCCCACCCAGAGACTAAGGCACCCCACCATGGCAGGTCGTTTTCTATGATTAGAGGGTCAGGTGAGGTGAAATTGCTGCTGTTCACTCCCCTATCTGGGTCTCTCGGGGGGGGGGGGCAGGGGGCCCCAATTAGCAGGAGGCTTCAGGGATCCCAGGAAAGTTCTCTTCTCCTGACCCCAACAGCTGCTCAGTCCACTGTTGGACACCTGGTACCCCACCTTGAGAATTGGGGATATCTTAGATAATTGCTCCCAAACCCCATAGTTTGTGTGTTTTTTATGGATGCTTCATCACATGGGCTTGTTTGAGTAAATCATCGGCCATTGGTGATTGATACAACTTCCAATCCCTCCTCACCTCCCCTGAGATCAGACGGTGGGACCAAAATTTTCAGCCCTCCAATCACATGGCTGGTTCTCCTGACAACCAGCCCCACCCTTGGGTGCTTTCCAAAAGTCATCTCACAACATAGTAGAAGACACCTTTCCTGCCTCCATCGCTTAGGAAGGCCAAGGGTTTCAGTAGCTCTAAAACCAGGAACAGGGAACGAAAACCAGGTATATATGTCTTATTCTATATCACAGGCACAACATGCTGACACCCACAAATCCACCTTTTGCCAAAGTCCCCGAGACACACTGCACGGCCTCTATCGGTGGTGAAAGCAGGTCACCTGCACCAGCCGAGTGTGCTACCTCGCTGCTCACCCACCTTCAGCGCAGCCAGGACTCTAGTCCTGGAACACCTGGTAGCTGAAGTTGTCTGGCTGCGTTTTGAAGTTGTACTTCCCGGTCACTCTCTGGTAGCGCACAATGAGAAGGGCAGCTACCCCTGTCACCACGGCAAAGACGGCCACCACGATGAGGACGATGTAGCCGGGTCCCAGGCCCGGCTTCACCTCTGGAGACTCACCTGCAGGGGGTGAGACAGCACAGGTGGGAGTCGGCCCCAAGCAGGAGGAAAGCACATCCCTGGCGGGTCTCCCTCTGGTCCCAGCACTGAGATGTTGTGAGTGTAGAATGGGGCTCAGGGCGGAGCCTGGGTAGAGTGAGCTCCCCCCTTTGTAACATGATCGTCTGAGTGTGCGTCATCCGAAGCCCTGTAGCAGTGAGGTGTGTGCCATGTACCTGCGGTTCCCAAAGCTGACAAGGAAGGTGTCTGAGGGCCGGACAGCACAGCAGCTAGCACAGCTCAGCCTGCTCAGGGTTCAGCGCTGGCCCAGAGGAGGAGGCCATATGGGAGCAACAGGCCCTCCAGGAAAAGGTGGACGGCTCAGCGGGACTGCCCACAGGGAGACACATGGGGCTCGCACACTGCAGTGTGGAGGAGTGCAGGCTGATCCTCCCAGGGATGGGCAAAAGCCCACAAAAGCACACAGGAGTGCGGACCCAAAAGACTGACAACAGGGACTCAAATAAATACTTTCCAAACCATGTTCAAAGCAGCACTCTTCACAACAGCCAAAGGTGGAAACAACCCAAGTGTCCACCAAAGGATGAATGGATAAAAATGAGGTACACATCCATGTTCTAGAGAAAAAGCAGTGCCTGACATACAGTCAATAGATGAAATAGTAAGTGGGTGGGTAGATGGATGGATGAATGGATGGATGGATGGATGGATAGAGGATGAATGGATGAGTAGGTGAGTGGATGAATGGAAGGATAGTAGATGGATGAATCAATAAATGGATGGATGGATGGATGGATGGATGGATGGATGGATGGATGGATGGATAGGCGGGTGAATAAATGGGTGGATGAGTGGATGGATAGAATCCAGAAGGTTCACTAATTTTCCCAAGACCATACAGCTCGTAAGTCTGACAGCCTAAAATCAAACTCAGGTCTCCTAATGCCAAGCCCATAACTTTTTCCATTCTGGTTTTTACATCCTCTGTAATATCTACGAATAAACAGGAAGCATGCACAGACATGGCAATGCAATTCACAAATGTTCCATTTCACACAAGGGCCCCAGCTCTGCTCAGCAATTGAAGACAATGAGGAGGGTAGGAAGAGCATGTTGTCCTAGGACCCAAGCCAAAGTCACCCGAGGGCCAGTGCCAGTGCCCAGCTCCAGAGCCCGCGAGGCCGGGCGTGGCCTGGGACCTGTGGAAGTGCGCATTGCCCAAATGCTTGGCATGAGAACCAGCAGCTGACAATGCCCGGGCAAGGGGCCCTCCCTGTCCACGTCAGATCAGCACGCACTTCCCAGCTCAGACCCTGCATCCAAAACACAGACATTCTTGTCCCGGAAAATATCAAGAGGAAGGAGGGCCATTCAAAATGAGGAAGAAAAACAACAAAAAAAGGAAAATCAAGTAGGATTAAGTGTAGCTGCAAAAAAGAGGAAGATCTAAAATAGCAGTGACAAAGAATATGGAAGTTTATTTCTTTCGTGCATAAAACTGGTTAAGTCAGAGCCCAGGCCTGGCCCAGCAGCTTTGCACCGCAGTGTCCTCGGGAGCCCGGCTCGTCCAGCTCCTGTCCCTGTGGTCCTCATGGTCCAGGATGGGGACTGGCGGCAGCCGTCTCACCTGCATGCCAGGCAGCAGGATGGAGAGGTGAGGAGGAAGATGGGGTGAAGCAGGGGCACGGGATGTTCTGAGGAGGCAACCCTTAGGGGGTCATCACTGGACTTTCCCATCTGCATCTCATTGGCCAGCACTTACTCATATGGCCACACCTGGCTGCCAGGTCGGTTATATATTTTAAAATATATAGTTTTTATTCCCAGCTAAAAAGTTGGAGTTTTATTATTATGGAAGGAGAGGAGAACAGATATTGGGGAACAGCTAGCAGTTTTTGTCTTAATACCCAAAGCACACAATTTCTCCAAACCATTTTTTTAAAAATAGAATAGCCCTGGCTGGTGTGGCTCAGTGGTTGGAATGTCAGTCCATGCACCGAAGGGTTGTGGGTTCAACTTCCAGTCAAGGGCATGTACCTGGGTTGCCAGTTTGCTCCCTGCCCCAGGCCAGGGTGCATGTGGGAGGCAACCAGTCGATGTGTCTCTCTCACATCTAGGTTTCTCTCTCTCTCTCTCTCTCTCTCTCTCTCTCTCTCTCTCTCTCTCTGTCTCTCTCTCCCCCTCCCTCCCTCCCTCCACTTTCTCTGAAAAAGCAATAGAAAAAAATCCTCAGGTGAGGTTTAACAAAAAATAAATAAATAAAAATAAAAATAGGCTAGATCACAAAGAAAGGAAAACGTTTTCCTAGAAAACTAATGGTGAGTTTCACATTGGCTGATGGAAGTTTTATACTGAGAGAGAACAACAGTGCCATTTTTTTGTTTTGCATCTTCTGATTTAGCAAAGCCTAAAATACAACAGCTTCCCCATTCACATGCATTTGCGCGCGCGCACACACACACACACACACACACACGCGCGCAAATACACAGAATTTGTCCTGCCTATAGACTGAGTTCCTTCCTGGTAACAACCCACTGCATGCAATTATCCAGTGTCAGGAAACTTAACTGCCTGCCCCTTACCCAAACATGCATTATTTAACCATGTGCACACTTGCTGAAGCCTCGGTCTTTTCATCTGCAACATGGGCATGGTAATAGCTCTGACCTTGCAGGGCTGCTGAGAAGAGCAAATTACATTCTGTGCGTACAGAACGGAGCGCAGTGCTGGGAAGTCGGTGCTCTCCGTGAGCATTAGCTGGCATTGTTACTAATTATGAGTCTTTAGGGAAAATCTTACGAGCTCCGTGTTCCAAGGAATTGCTTTTTGGTTTACATGCTAATGAAATGGAATTGGTGGTGTCTTTTCTTTAGTTTTCTGAACCAAGGCACCAACTCACCGTCAGACCGAATGAGGGGTCCCCAGGACATCTGGTGTGTTTCCGATGGTTCACCACTTCTCAGCGACCGAAAGTCATTGCAATTCTGTTGTTTTTGTTTTTTTTAAAGGAGAGAAATTCAATTAGTGCAACAACGCTTATGAGAAATGTACCGAGTCTCTGGAATGGTACCCTGATTCATAGATTTTTTTTCCCTGCTGGAGACATGAAATCGCAATGAATGAGCTCAGCCAGGGAGAAGGAGGGCTGCAAAGGCCTGGACCATCTGGACCGCCGGGACTGCATGGACCACCTGGACAACCTGGACCACCTGGACCACCTGGACCACCTGGACCACCAGGACTGCATGGACCACCTGGACAACCTGGACCTCCAGGAAAATCTGGACCACCTGAACCACCAGGACAACCTGGACCACCTGGACCACCTAGACCACTAGGACAACCAGGACCACCTGGACCACCAGGACAACCTGGACCACCTGGACCGCCTGGATCACCTGGACCACCTGGACCACCAGGACAACCTGGAACACCTGGACTGCCTGGATCACCTGGACCACCTGGACCACCAGGACCACCTGGACCACCAGGACCACCAGGACCACATGGACCACCTGGGCCACCTGGACCACCTGGGCCACCAGGACAACCTGGACCACCTGGACCGCCAGGACCACCAGGACAACCTGGACCACCTGGACCGCCAGGACCACCAGGACAACCTAGACCACCTGGACAACCTGGACCACCAGGTCAACATGGACCACCAGGACAACCTGGACAACCTGGGCCACCAGGACCACCAGGACAACCTGTACAACCTGGACCACAAGGACCACCTGGACCACCAGGACAACCTAGACCACCAGGACAACCTGGACCACCAGGACCACCTGGACCACCTGGACTGCCTGGACCACTTGGACCACTAGGACAACCTGGACCACCAGGACCACCAGTACCAGCTGGACCACCAGGACCACCAGGACAACCTGGACCAACAGGACAACCTGGACGACCTGGGCCACTTGTACATCCTGGACGACCTGGGCCACCTG